TTGGTAAAGACTGGAATTAATTTACGTAAACACACGTTGACACCTGGGGGGCAAACTGATGTGTCTGACTCTTCGTAAAACAAGTGTTATATAGTTCTATGTAATACGTGTATTTTCATTTGGGTAAAATATAACAATTTTAGCTTTTATTGTTTAATGCTAATCCAGCATATGTCATCCCTACGGCAGATGCCGGATGTCGAACGCACAACTCCTATGCAATCACGAGAATGTATAATCCAACACACGAAATTTGCACCAAAGCAAACCATTCCTTAAATAAATTAAACCATTCATCGATTCCTTTCTGGTTTGTTTTATAGAGTCTAGTACATCTTTCTAAACAATTCTTAGGTGAGGCAATATAGGCTTACACGACCATGTTACACCTCGCTTGTGCATTGAGCGAGAAAGGTCAACAAAGTATAAACCAGCCTGGCATGTTGGGTGATCTAGACGCAGCTCAGAGTTGTGTTCATAATTACTTAGTTTAACCTAATCTTCCCTCTCTCGGTGATCTCTCCTAGTTTGTGCACTAATTGGCCTACTTTGTTGCACATTTCGTACACTTGATTTAATAATACTAGTGCATTATTTGTACTCTCGAAGGAGACATAATCTGAAAGGGCTTGCGTCCGAAACGTATTACAAATGAACTTTGATTATTGATGGTGCTAGCATTTACTGATTTAACAATACTCCTATGTACAGGCCTGCTTTGCATCTTGCAGTTTGTGATGAAACATGGTTATCCACGTGATATATTAAGACTAATTAGTCCATATGACGTTCATCCTACCTTTTTTCCCTCTAATGAACTGTTCACAGGGATTTGCAATGCTGTTGGCAAATCTCTAGGCGAACACCTATGTCATTTTCTACATTCAATGATTGCGGTTCGTAAATACTTTTAAAATTGAGCAAGAGACTTTCTTAAACAACCAACGAAAGGTTAACATTAGCGTGGATTATTGAATTAACCACTGCGCCTTAGAAGTATGCAAAAGGCTACCAAAAATCCACCATAACTTATGACAAATGCTGATTTTATTTAGATATTTTCGGTCGGATGTAGCTTAATGTACTAACAATGAGTGGAAAAGCAGAGTTTGGAGGCAGGTTATAATGCAACGCATACCATTCACGTTAACTGGTTTTGTACAACAGGTAACAGATAAAGGATAGTGACTACCACTAACAAGTAAAATCTGAATGCTTAAACACAGCCATCGGTGTAAACCTTCTCAAATATAAAGCAGAATGCTTGTTAGCATAACAAAGTTATCTGGAAGTAGCATAAACAACATCAAAAATAACATTAGCAAATACAACAGCAGCAGCAGCAAGAGTTGCGCGTGAATCGGTGACAGCAGCCTATACGAGGATGACATGAGAAACGTCAAAATTATGGGTAAAGGGACATTAAAGGGGCGCTTACCCGCTTCGAGCATATACTGGAAATGAATATATTGGCGAATCCCTCAACACAGACGCACTTTAAGTGGATAATATAGTCTCGCCAGTCATTAGGTCTCAAAAGACTTATTCATCACGTGTTATATGAATTCATTGTTGTTTGCATGTTTAACCTCTACTGAAGTCTATTTGAATAACTTGGGTTTCTCTCTGCTTCCATCTTAGAACCTATCAGAGGAATTTGCAAACCAAGATGGAACTGGATATACAATGGACGCCCATTAAATTATTCTTGGATGATTTGAGGGCCTGTATAAGTGCGGAGAATGTGAAAAGGTACTTTTCGCGATTTGGAGAGGTAATGGAGGTTGATTTATACGTGGAACCCTCAACGAACAGACTCACTGGAAAGGGCAATATTATACTTAAACCACGACGAAATCCAACGGAAATCTTCCAGATGGATCACATCATATGCGGGTTTCGGATTTATGTTGAAGAATGTTTTTCAACAAACCCTTTCGAAGATAATTCAGGAAGGTATGTTTCCGTGTTGCCTTGTTTCACTTTCTACATTGTCATCTGACACCAAAGGCAGTGTTCCTAAAAACGCATCTTAATAAACTTGGCTGCAGGTCCGTGGAACACTGACCTGTAAATCATGTTGTACTGTGGCAAACGTAGATGGGCTTGTGGCATTTCAGCCGCTGCGTCCACCTGCGCATCAGAGGTACAACC